CCCAAGCACACCGCACACCAAAACAATACAGACACCCCTGGAAACAATTAAAAACCCATCACAGTGCACAAGGCCCAATGTCGAGGCAGCACTGGTGCATTAACGCAGCGCTCCGATGCTGGGTTGCCTGCTCCAGTGGGGACCTCCCCGCGCCGCAGAGTATCGCTGTCGCTGGAGCTCCCAGCTCTGCTCCAACCTCCAGAAGGGAACGAGCACTTCACAGAGAGCCGAGGCCGAAGAAAAAAGGAAAACCATCTTTTTTGTGTGTTTTTTTGGGGTGACCACAAGAGATCTCCAAGATAGCAGTGAGTTATTTTACGATCTGTCGGTACTCAGCTAACCAGACTTTAAACAAGCTTAGTCCTAATCCTGTTGCAAGTGCCAGTTGTGTCAAGACCACCAGTTAAAACATGGTTTTCTAGATGTCTCATTTCCCTCCCACCCACAACCAGAAAAAAAAATTGTCATTAAGAGGATAGCTATCCTTAAACATTTATTTTAGCAGTGTAAACAGGACCCACTGCAGCTGTGTTCAAAAAAAAAAAGGCAAGTCTGTGTTTTCAAGTTGTCAATAAACCTCAGGGTAGCACACAGCTTTACTTACGTACTTCTCTCAAGAAGACAGCTGAGCAGAAGTGGAAACACTCGGTGGGCGCCCTCACAAGCTGGACTGCACATATAGCACATATACCCTAGTCTAAAATGGCTTTGACCATTCCTTGCTCTTCCCCCGCTCCCAACTTCCCCCAAATACTCCATATCGAGCCTAAAAATCTTTCAGAGCTTTGTCACAACTTGCATATCCCAAACAAGTTGAGCTGATTATTTTTTACGAGACATTCCCCCCCCCCCCCACATAAGGCTATTACTTTAAAAAACATTCACATTTTCCCATAAAGAAAATTTACAATTCACAATAGCTTGGTAACACGCTCATCAAGATTTCATGAGCTTTTAAATACCATTAAGGATTACAAAACACAAGCATCCTGACCGATCTTCAAAATGAGCCCTGCTTTAAGTGGGGATTTGAGTGGAGAAACTTCAGAGGTCCCTTCCAACCTGAACTGTCTTTTAAATGCCAAAATCGATGCACAAAGAAGCCTCCTACCATTTCCAACAGCTTAGTTATAAGTAATTTTCACAACACAAGGGGCTTTCTCTTTCCTTTTTGCCATTGTAAAGATCCTGTAACAAACCATTCCTTGTGTCGAGACTAACAGCCATCTTTTTAGGTTTCTTCCCAGTCGGCGCATGTTCCATTACTGAATTCGACACGACACTGTGCTTGGCTCTAGCTGAAGAGAAAGCTGCTGTGTCAAGCAAGCAAACCACGCTCCTTCCTCTGGAAGGAAGTTAGCCGTCGGACCAAATAATCTCCCCCATTCTGAGACTGTTTTAAAGAAACCCAACATCTCAACCACCCTTTTATTCTGAGCGAGGGAGAGCAAAGAGCTCTGGCACAACTCTTTGGAGATCTTCCAGCTCTCTAGGTGCATTCAGAGCGAACAGGCAGCTACATACCATATATGGGAAAATACAAATCTCTGCTCAATCAGCAAAACGGAGACACCACGGAGATGGGAGGAAGTACTTGGAGCACAGAACTGCAAAAAGGACTTCTGTGAAGATAATACAGGCTAA